GACAATTTAGATTTTTTTTTAACTTAGGTTTATGACAAGTAAATGATAACTTTGATCGGTTTTGTATCTAGGTGAAGTTCTTTTATTCTGACGACGACTTCAATGATGATGATGAAGATGATACATAGGATGGTTTAGAATGACTGATGTGATTTGGGTGATGATGGTTTATCTTATTCTGACGATGATCATGGTGACGCGATATACATGATGGTTAAAATGACGATGTGTATTAAGTGATAATAAATATTTAGATGAATTTGATGGTGACATAGTTTTGACTGATGACGATTTTATACATGATGTGAGAGTGATTTATATAATACTTTAGAGGAGTTAGACAATGAAAGACGATGATTAAATGAGGATGAAGAAGATGATGATTTGGTTGATATTGCTTTCTATTTAGATGATCTGGAAGATTATGATTTATCTATCTCGACGATGATAATGGTGATGATGACATATACGACGGTTTAAACTGAAGGTATGATTTCGATGATGATGATTATTTAAATGATGGTTTTGAATTATCTGGTGATAATTTTATAATTTCTTTCTTGGTTATTCAGATAACAATTTTGATGGTGATTTAGAAGGTTTGAGGTGATGATGAAGACGATGATCAAATGAGAATCATATTGTTGATGGTGGTGATTTAGATGATACTGCTTTTATTTTTAGTTGATTTGAGCTATGATGATTTATCTTAATTTGGCGATATTTTCAATGACGATGATGATGATAATATATATATATATGATGGTTTAACATGAAGATGTGTTTTGGGTAGTTATGCTTAGTTAGATGTCTTAGATTAGCAGATGAAGTTGATTGGATTTAGAAGGAAATTTATATAGATGATGATTTCAATGAGTTAGATATTGATTTAGATGAAGGTATATTCATTTGATAATGATTATTTAAACAATAAGAGGGTCGTCCGAAAAATTACTTTGCCGTAAACCATAAAAAACAAAGTCTTATTACCTGGAAAAACCTATTGCAAAAGATACAGCTATATTTCTGCTACTTCTCAGCATAAGAAACATCGGAACTATACCAATTGTCATAGCGTCGGTTACCTATTTCCATTAGAGTGTCATAGAAGTCTGTCGCCTGGGAAGAAAGGCAGCCCGTCACATTTGTCTGCAACATTTCACCTGTAGGAAAGTGTGCCCAGACAAGAACGTCTTCAGGTGCAATAACACGTGGAAGTACTTAACAGCAAGATCGAAGCCATAGAATGGATGGTCAGACATCTCCCAGCGAAACGTCTGCAACATATATTTTGTGGAATTCCCCGTATGCGTCCGATGTTGTCGTAGGACACCACAACACCAGCACTGAGCATCCCAAACCATTTGTTCTGAATGGCTCTTCAGATGTTCTCTAGTAAAGTAAAGCGCAATAAAGATCAGCTTTCACCGGAGCACCACTCGCCAATACGTCAATGAGCAGAATGCCTTTACTATCCCAGAATACCGTGGACTTCAATTTCCGTGCATAGACTGAGGATCGTCCGGCGCGTGGATCCCTGTGACGCCAATCAATCGTGAGTTGCTGTTTTCTGTGGTGAAGTGAGCTACCCACATCTCATCACCTGTAACGATTCTGTTAAATTGCGTTCAATAAACTGATTTATGTATCTGCTGCCTCTAGTTCTTTGTGTTTAAGTTTTGAGTATTCGAAATGGAACTCAAATACAATCAATCATATATATAGATTACATATCAATTCATATATTTGAATTAAATATCTACCTAACCGAGCGCGCCGGAACGGCGGTGAAAGATGGTAATTTTAGAGTGGCTCGTTGGCCTAGGCCTTGAGCACTTTATAGGTGACAAAACGAATTTCTCCATCTCAGAGTTGATGAAGAATCTGTTGGAGTACGAATCCAGCTATTTTACCAAAAACCTCTCGGAAGAACTTTCGGCTTGACAATGTTTTAAGTGGTCTATGTAGCAAAGACAATATACATTTTTAAATGTCCTTGCCTTTCCGAGATTCGAACTGGAGCCTAAGACTATGTTAGCTGACTTTCTTATCACTATGCCTTCCAAGTGCAGTCAAATGTCGTTGTATGTTGGCAAGCCGTTTATAAACGCATTTGCTGCAAAAAAAGGAGGAAGTTATTGTGTGTTTGAAGCTCTTTAAAATTCCATTACCGTTTCTTCTGTGCTCTACATGTATATATGAGTTGAAATATGTTTTCAGAGATTCGTAACTGGTCCAGCTGATAAATGAGGATGATTACTTATAACTGCAGAATTTTCTTATTCCTATAACTTCTAGAAAGCTAAGCACTAAAGAGTTTCGACAAACCCTAGGAGTAGTTATCTAGAGGCGTGAGATCAGCGAATGTGGCAACACCAATCGAGCATGAAGGGGGCCATTATGATTTACTAACCACTGTGAAGTCTTACTCCGCCTTAAATGTATAGATTTCGTGGTTTTCATTATTTCTTATTTCTTCTTTTTTTTTCGGCGTTGCACATCTAAAAATGAGACAGATCAGTAAATTTTCCTCCTTACTAAATCTTTTGCTGCAGACCGCATTAAAATCGGATACTTTTTGACAAAAATAAAACCCAGAGAAATAGGTCAGTTCTATAAGAATCACCTTGTATAAATGGCATGCATTCCTCAAAAATGCAAATGTTTTTCCAGAAAAAAATAATGAAAGTGCCATTAAAAAATTATTCAAAACACGTAAAAAAACTGGAAGTTGTACAAAACAAAATTTATGCCTTTCTCATTAAGAGAGACATTAAGTTTTCATATAAAAAAATAAGAAATTAAAATTAACTTACTTGTTGCAATATGGTAGGTTTGAATGACATTTTGAAGTGCATTTCATTACATTTTTTCACACAAAGACATTTCATATTTTGGCACTTTGTTTTACGCATACATTTGACGAATAATCCTTGGCCACTTCCACTGGACTGAGCAACTGCAACTGATCGAAGATGTATTTCGTGATCAGGAATATCTTCAATTCTAAGTAAGTGCTTTGGACATAAAGTGAATTGTAATCTCGCATATACTTGTTTTAAAATTCCTTCAGAAGTTCCAAGTTAGTAGAAACCATCCTCTGTCTCACTTATTTTACAACTGCCAATACATTGAGCGAATCACCCCAATCCTTGTCGACGTCAGGAAAAGGAACTCACATAGTAGTTCCCAAAGAAGCAGTGGGAATTTTTTTTACGAATTAATTCTCATTTTTTTGGTTTGTATTTCCAGATTGATTTTAGAATTTATTTTACCTTCAATAGAATTTTCAGTTTTGAAACAAAAGGTGTACAAAATATCCATTTCATCATTTTTACTAGCGTGGCCACAAAAGCTATGAATTTTTTGACGACACTTTTTGCATGCAACAGCATCACTCGGTTTCTTTGAACACACACAACAGGTACCTGAAAAGGAAATCTCTTCGATAAGCATGTCTTCTTCATATTCGTTTAATCCACTGTTGACGATAATCTCATCCATGTTTTATTAAACAGGGTCTTTTCTTGGCTAATCTGATTAGTTTCAGCCTTTTTCCATTGCTTGAATGCTTTCAATTACTTTTTTTAGATGCTCCTATGTATTAGGTGAGAGCAAAAGTTCTACCCGTTTTTGGATATGCAAATTTGCAATGGAATTGAAGTCACACATGACATTGTAATGAAGAAAATCGTCGGCCAATCAAACGTGTGGATGCCTCACGGATGCCATATAAATGCATCGTGTCTCATAATTCACCATCTAAAAAAAAAAAAACTCAGAAGGTGTAACATAGAAAACGAGAAGGAGCATATAAGACACTGTTTGTTATATGAGTTTCGATAAAAAGAGTGCGGCAACCTCAGCATGTCGCAATGTTTGACAAGTCTATGGGGAGGATGCAGGAGACGAAAGCACATGTCGTCGATGGTTTCGTAAATTTAGGGAAGAAGACAGAAGCTGTCAAGACCAGGCTAAGAGTGGACGGCCATCACACGTTAGAGAAGACGATATTGACCAAGCCAATAATGAATAACCCGAACCCAACCGTGCAAGAATTAGCGGAGACATTCAACGTACACCGGACACCGGATAACGGTCAAGAGACGCCTGGTTAAGTTGAATTTTACAAGAAAGTTGGATCATTGGGTTCCACATAATCAACGGGATGACCCGAATTGCCACCTGTGTTTCCTTGCTTTCCCGGTACAAAAAAGACCCATTCTAGACACGAATTGTGACAGGAGATGAGAAGTGGGTTATGTACCGTAACATAAAGCGTCGTAGGAGTGTGTGTCGCCTTCTGATCCGCCTGCATCGACTTCGAAAGCCGAACTTCATCCCAAGAAGGTGTTATTGAGTGTGCGGTGGGATGTGCAGGGAATAATTCACTGGGAGGTCCTGCCACTCAACCAAACCATCACTGCATCACAGTAGCACTGCCCAACCAAACCATCACAGTAGAAGGCACACTGTCTACAGTTAGACAGGCTGCATTCAAATTTGGTAGCAAAGCGACCAGATCTCATCAATCATCGCGGTGTTATCCTTCATCATGATAACGCCAAACCACATGCTGCTACCATCACTCGCCAAAAGTTACTCGGCTTCGGTTGGGAGGTTTTACCCCATCCTCCCTGTTCTTCTACTTGGCACCAACTAACTATCACTTATGTCGTGCGTTGAACAATTCCTTTAGTCAGAAAATCTTTGATGATCTTGATGAAGTGAAAATTGCCATCCAAGAATTTTTTGACTCGAAACTGCCGGAATTTTACCGCTGTGGGATTCATCTCCTACCAGAAAGATGGCAAGAGAGCATAGATAACAATGGGGATTATGCACAATAATAGGTACTGTTCATTTTGCGTTTATTTGCTCTTCTTTATGGGTAATGAAAACGGATAGAACTTTCGTACCTTGAACTTTTGTTATCTTAATATTTACATCTTTTAAAACATCTTCTAATAGAAAACACGCTGAAAAGTAAAACCTCTACTTTAGGGTTGCAGCCAAAAAGAGCTTCGTATGGTGTTCTTTCTTTTGATCCCAAAATGATAAGCTCTATTTTTTATAAATTGAACAAAATGCAGTCCTTCACTCCAGCGGCCAGATTTGTTGTCCTGCATCCAAGTACAGGGCATATTTTCGATATCTTGATCAGCTCTTTCGACACTACTCTGGCTTTGTGAATGATGAGGCTTCCCAGTGACGATCTTCAGTGCTGGCCCAAACTCTTTCAAGCTGATCACCATATTTTTAGCAAATTCCCTGCCATTGTTAGACTGTAATATAGATGGATCTCCAAGTAACGAGAATATCTCCACTAGGTTGTAGGCTATTTCTGCAGCTCTTTTAGAAATAAAAAATTTGAGAATCAAAACTTTTGTGAGAGGATCTTGGTACACCATAATAAACTTGTATTCCTATACCTGGCTGAGACTGAAAGTCAGTAAGATCTACCTGACGACGGGAATTAAATTCGGAAAAAATAATAGGTTTTACAACAATGCCTTTTTTTATGCATTTATGTTTTTTTGGGGGGGGCAAAGTTCACAGAGGTGGATGTACAGTTCAATATCATGATGTGTAATGTTTTTGTATTTGGTTTTAAGATTCCAATCTTTAAGTTAAAGCTAAAAATGAGGAACCTTAAGAACTGGTAAGCGAATAATCCCTTAGTTCAGTAGACAGAGAGCAGGACTCAAGAAGTGTTAAATATCCTTTATTATTCAAAAAGAAAATAACAGTCGACTCCTTCTTGGAGTTTACAACAAAGTCTCCACTCGGGCTTGAACTCAGGAATACTAAGAAATAAAACTTTACTAAACTAAAGATATATCGAAGCTATCAAGATTCTAACAAAATTGGCCCCTTAACGCGAACTAAAGGGCAAAAATATCAAGGGCCTAAAGTACGGCCGAGTGTAATAATAGCTTAAGAGAGAGTAGCTTAAAAGGCGAAAGCGCGCTTCTCAGAATCTCTGGCTCTCTAACGAAGTCAGTAGAACTTCAACTTTAAATACTTGTTCTTCCTTCATGTGCCTTTAACTTAAATTGTAAGCTAAAATTAAGAAGTCACAGGAAAGTGGCTAAAACTAAACATTAACTGTTATTAACTTAAGATAAACCTTACAGGTTGAAAGGTTTTTCAGCATTATATCACATTCTCCGTGTCCAGTAGCCAAATGAGCTTCATGAAGTACGTGAAATAATTCAGTCCGTGACGAAATACTATATAGTACTATATAGTACTGATGCCTTCTTTAACAGGATAAATAAATGAGTTTAGGTAAACGAGTTGATAGTTACTCCCTGGACTCCTTGTTAGTAGTCATTTTGGATTTTTGTACTTCATTTATTAACTTCAGGCAAGCACTTTTAGTTAAGAAAAAACTGGTAGCATTAACTCGAATTTTTAACAGTTAATCGTCGAATTGTTGTTTCATGTCTAGAGACCATGACTCCTTCTCCAACACTACAGCTTGCTCCTCCATTTTCATGTAGCACAGTAAAAACCTTTTTTTTTTTTCTTTTTTTTTGAAAAACATTTAAGTAAAATTGCGTATTTTGACACTCCCGAACAAATCGCAAAGTGCAACTGACAATCTCTGAGCCTGAGGCGCGCGTTCAAAGTTGACCGCGTGATTTTCGAAACGACCTCGGAGATGTATTTCATACTTTGCCGGTTTCTCATTTGGCATTCTACAGAATGCCTAGGAAATGTGTGATATATATGAATCGTTTCATATATGGCCGGCTAGTTTTAGGCATTCTATAGAAAACAAGATTCCAGACTTCGCCGCTAACATACACAAAATGAAGAAAATGTATAATAATTCATTAAATCAGACTGAGTCATAAATAATAATAAACAGAGAGTATTTTTAATGATTTTATTTATTCATGAACACCAAAAGTTGGTATAGAAGTAAAGCATGATATCACAGTTTAGAAATGTAATAAAAATATCGCCATAAACGTAAAATAAAGAATTACACATTTATATTTAACACACAACGAATACTCCATATGACTTTATTACTCTTACATATCATTAGAGTATATGGTATGACAGTGATTTTAGACTCGCCCGTACAAACACTAATATCTAAAATTATCTTTACACATGAACATAAAACTTAATTTCTCAAGAATTGAATAAAATTGGAAACAAAATTATTTGGAATGGCATGAAGAATCCTAGCACATAAATTTAACCTTAAAAATTAAATTTGAATGCACATGATGGGAAATTATACTAAAATCAAAAATAAAAATAATTGAAATAATATGCAATACAGAACTCTAAGAGAAAAACTATTTCTCAAATAAATGTGGAATTCTGGATACTAATAGAAAATTTTGAGAACAAACTTTCCATTCTTTCATCCCTATAGAAAAGCAACTAAGATCTGAAGTCAAGAAGAATTGAGGATAAGAATTTTGCCGTATAGTATTTCTTCTTTAGTATGTCCCAACAGTTATAAATGAGATTCAGAACAGGAGATTCAATGTGCCAGTTTATCTGCTCCTTTTGTCCAATTGTCTTCTTTTTGAAAACATCCATCATCTAGAATTCTCCACGATGAGCAAGCAGGATTATTGTACCCAAAAAGGAAGTGAGATTCACAAGTAAGCATAAAATACTTAACAGAGAATTATACGCTTTCATCATTTCCAGGCAAACCCATATCTTTTGTCGAATACTTGCTCGGGATTACGTCCATTGACCTTTAGCTTTACTAATGCAATCAGATTAAAATTTCCATAATGGTCCTCCTTCTTAATATTGATGGAATACATTGTGTTGCTTTCTCAGCTGTAAGCGTGTTTAAAATAAATGGTAAACAGAAATGTGAACATCGAAGAGAAGAGCATATGAATGCCCGTAATACCCAAAATAGAACACGTGAATGTTTATGGTCCCCTTTTGACATGTATGATTACAATAAAAGGTTATGATTATGTTAAAAGGCAATTTAATGGTATAAACAGTATGGATATGAACATTGCTTTATATACATTTTACGGAAAATGAGCAGCTTTGAAAATATTGCCTTACGTTGCTTGTTTCCTCTGTCCTCAGTCTCTAAATCTTTATGATTGACTTTTATTCTCCTAACTTACTGAGCTGTTACAGGTTTTGCGAAAAAAATGTAAAATAGCTTAGATGCAATTGTCTTCGAGAAATGTTGTTTTGAATAAAAATGCTACTTGCAAATCCAAATTTTGAAACCGGTTTTGTGCAGCGTCCAGAGAGTTCTTTTTTTGTTTATTAATGAACTGTCTGTTAAGACAACACTTATCCTTAATATAGTTACATCAGATAATTTAATGGCAGCCTAAGACAGTTGTCAAACCTGCTGCATAATGAACTCATACAACTATGTCTTGAACACAAAGTGAATGAAAAGAGATAAGTTACCAGAATAGGCATAAAAGAAGGAAGCAATAAATTAAATGGCGAAAACAATGAGATACGTCATGATGGTAACAATCGAACTAATATTTCGAAACCAGTATGTAGATTTCCAAGAACAGGAAACACATATTTCCTGTTGTTTTGTGCAATTAAATGCAGTAATTAAAATAATTCAATGAGTAGAAAGTTTATTCGACGATATAGAAGTGCAGGAGATAGTTTCAATTTCTGTGAAGAAATTCCCATTTAATACTTACTTAGTTGTAGTTATTTAATACAAATTTTATTGTTTATGCATACTGCAAAGGCCAGTTAAGCTAATTTGCTGAGGGTATATGTATTTCAATATGAAAAGGTAGATAGCACCTAGTGCATAAATTAAATTTACCGAGTGTATAAATTAAATCATTTTAATGATTGTATTGATGAAAAGTACATGTTGTTGAATATCGTAATCTCCACTTCATACGTTGCATGTTTTGACACTAAGGGTAGTTATTAAGAAAGTTACAAATTAAGGAGATATTCTCATGCAAATTCAGTAAACATAAATAATTCCAACATGTATACCGTTGATTGAACCGAAAGCATCAGCATTATCTGTCAAACAACATTAGAATATTGTTTTAAGCTCTTCTACGTTCTACATAAAGCGAATTTTTAAACTTTATAATCAATGTTGTCAAATTCATAAACAGGAACGTTATCATTTTCAATATTTTTAAAAATTTTTAAAGAAATGATTTCCTTTGTATCATCCTTTTCCGCAATTTCAATAGCAAGTTTTTGAATTCGTTGCTGTATGATCAGATAAAGCAATCCACATAGCGAATGCACAAAGTCGATGAAAGCCACAGCGGAAAATCCAAGCCATAATCCTAGATAGCCTCCAACGTAGCTGAAGAGTTCTATAGGCTAAAGGGAAAGAAGACAGGTTATTACTAAAAATGACTTTCTTTTAAATTAAATTTTAGATTAACTAATTCTTCTCATTTCACTAAACAAAATGGCTTTGAGATAATAAAATCTGTATCTTCAAATCTTTGGGTGAGACTTATACCACAGTGTAAATTAATTAGCTCCATTTATAGATTTTCTGGTGCGTTATTTACATTCGTTTTTAGTGGCAATGAAAATCATTTAAACTCGGACTTCAAATAATCAAAATCTTTGCAACACCGTATATTTGCAACAAACACATAATTGAAATGTCTTCACAAGCTGCATAAAATTGCTTCAGGGACCGCCAGTCTGAAATCACTGCCGTCTGACTTATGTTATATAAGCTTTTGTTTATAAGACTTATGTTATACAATCTTATATCGTTCAAGCGCGTTTTTTGGAATTCAAAGATTAACAATGTGAACAAGTGTGTAATGATGTATAAAGCCAGAAAGATAAATTATGAATGTTATAATTCAAAATTCATAAAAATGATTATTTTATAGCAAAATGATTGACGATTTAAAATTTACAGGATTGATTATTTTATGGCAAAGCACGTGACACTCGTAAGGATCGTTAGTTATCTGTAAAGCTCTAAATTATGGGGTTTTGAACTTATTTCAGAATCCTGATTTAGCAAAATTTGGTGGAATATTTGAAAACTTCTGTACATGGGCTTTTTTTTTTTTTTTTTTTTTTTTTTTTTTTTTTAAACATTTTCTGTGTTACCTTTATTTATTAGACATTTAGACATCATGTTCTTCGCACTTAAACCATAAAATTCAGTTCAAGAGCAATATTGCAAAATAATTTTAAAATGAGCATATCTTTAGAATTTCAGATACACAGTCTCGTGCGCTGGATATAAAAATGCTTTTTTCTGTACAACGTTGCCATTGCTCGCTTTGAAATACTTGAGTTGGTTAATCAAAAATTCGTTAAAGTTTTACAAAATATGAAATCGATAAAAAAAAACAAATTCCAAATTTCAAATTTGGGCTTCCAGATGCCCATATTTGCAGGAGGATTACGTTATTCAAAATTTGATGGCTCTAGGTACCGTTGTTTCATCACAATGCGAGAAACATACATAAACTTATGCAGATTCTTCATTATTTAATTTCTTTAAATATAATACAAGGGAATAATATTTGGTGGCAACAATTTGGAATGTGAAACAACGCAAAATGCCAAAACGAAATTAATAGTCCTTCTGGGCAAATTGCCTCTTTGTACTATGAAGACTGCGTAATTACTATTACAGGAATAAGATGACTTGGTGAGAGGAAAGTAACAACGGATTGGCGGCGGTTGTCTGCATCATTTAACACGAAGACTTTGCTACGTAGTTAGAACGATGGATGCATAATCCAAAGCAGCAGAAGATACGAGCGAACAGAAGAGGTGTGGTGTATTTAATTATGGCAAAGCACACTAGGGCTATCTGCCTAAGGGGAGGGATGCCTTTCGTGGAGGACTTTCTAAGGGAAACTGGCTCGTATACACGTTACACATGGGGAAAACCACGAAAACGCCCATGCAGCCAGCCCGTTCGCGGGATTCGAACCTCGGACCGAACTACCAGTGTTCAGCGTCTTTACCGCTCGGCCGCTGGTGGGCCCCGAACAGAAGAGAGAGTGCAACGTAAGTAAGCTTTTATACGAATTCCATTTTAGATCACATGACAGTTTAATGTATAGGTGCTGGGTTCAGATTTCATCGGTAAGTGCGCAGTGCATATTAAATGACAGACCTTTTCGTTTAATTAGAAAATTTTTAGAAAGAAATCAAGAGTTAAAGGGCTATTAATTTGAAAGCTAGATTTTATATTTTACATAAATAGAAAGAATTTATTCAATTAATCGGAAATTGAGTATTATATTTCTACATGAAAGTTGACAACTCAATCTGCATTATAACAGAAATACTTTCATCAACAAAAATTTGAAAGACTTTTTAATGGACATTTACTTTATGAAAAACATTTGAACATTTACTTCGTGAAAAAACTGAACATTTAACTGGTGGAACTTTTTTCATCAACAGACTTTACAAAAAAAATTTCATTGGTCATTCAAAGGATATTGGACATTTTAATAATTTGAGGACTTTAAAAATTATATTTGTATTAATTTATTGTTTAGTTTCTTTAGAAATTACATTACTTGTAAATTATATGTTAAGTATTCCGTAATCTGTATATATGAGAGAGGTCATGAAAAGGCATAGGAAAACCTGCCGGCAAAGTCCCTGATGCTTCCTCATGTCTATCCTCATATAATAAATTTTCTCTTGCTTCGTTAATTCCCTAATGATTTTCTGCCACCCTGCTGTCTTTACCTTTCTTTTCAAGGGGGATATGTAAGATATAAGAAAATACGATAGTTGCTTTAAGAATAATTCTCAACCTCAAAATTAGCGATTCCAGATTTGGTGCTCTTCCCCTAAATTCATCTGTTCTCCCAAATTCGAGATTCTTCCATGATTATATAAACACCTTATATTAACCAATCATAGCTTATAGATTAACCAACTTTCTGATGTATTTAGTATAAATACCGCTCGTCAAATAAACTACGTCATTCCATTCCTTTTCCTAAGTGCTACTCTGTCATCCTCGCGCTGCTTTGCTTCTCAACTGCCTACCTCATTTCTTTGAGGGGGAGGACAATGCACGAAAAAAAAAAAAAGTGACAGTTCTATATCTCCCTCTCTACTAGGCCGATTGACGAAATTAAATTTGCCTTTTTCATGTCTTGAAAGCGCTACTTAGGATGTGTATGAGATTTATGTGTTGCTTTGTTCTAATATAAGTATTTTGACACAAACGGGAGATATAGAACTGTCCCCCCCTTTTTTTTCGCAGTGTAGATAGAAATTTTTCATATTTCATTATGATTGAAACATAGAAATGTATCGGATTTCATTATCCTAGGATAAATATCTACTGAGATGATTTTATATGCGTAAAAATAAAATTTGGGAGTTCGTCTACTTCATTTTCGTGACGGCGTCATTTGCCTGTCTTCCCAGCCTGCCACTATGCCATCGCAACTATGCTTCAAAAACATCATATATATATGAGTGTTTTAGCAAATCGCTTACAAACTTTCAGGAGAGATAGAGCACACCTAAACAATGGAAAAACACATAGCAATGCATGATCAAAAACGCTTTCCAGGCGCGGTAGTAACGACACAAAACAGAAAAAAAGGAAGGTCACGAAGAGGGTGAGAATAATGCTTATTTTAACTTAGTGCAGTAGTAATCAAGAAATAAGAACAAAAACAGACGAGCGTCACCAAAAAAGGTGTTCGGAATTACGACTCGGAACGTGATGCAGGAACCGTGAGCTATGCCATCTTCTATGCGTGATATAGATCTTCCTTGCGTCGGAGACGTGAGGCCTGCATCACGGTCCGAGGTCTTGATTTGGAACACCTTCTTTAATGACGATCGTTGTCTGTTTTTGTTCCTATTTGTTGTTTTCTGCTGTACTGAACATAATAAAACATGTTTTGTCACATTGTTCATGCCCTTCCTTTTTTGTGTTTCCTGTCGTCACTACCGTGCCAAAAAAGCGCTTCCAACCATGTATTGCTACATGATTTTCCATCGTCAAGGTATACTCTGTCTATCCTTAAACTTTGTAACTGATTTGCTGTAACATCATACACATACACATATATGTACTATATATGTATGTGTGTGTGTAATAGAAACAGACTTAGAAGTAATGAACAAGAGGAATTTAGTTGGCGTAGAAATATTGATAATAATGGATAGGAAACTGGATGATAATGGATAGGAAATAATAATAATAATGGATAGGAAAGTGCAGCAGAGGCTAGATAAAATTTTGTAGCGATCACCGGACTCCATTTCCTAAAAGGCGCGCCTCGGATGAGGACAGAGGAGAAAAAGTGGTGTACGCGGTTCGAGGAGAGAAGTAGACAGGCGTCGGAGGTCACTGACACTCTTGACTTGATACTTGTGTGATTATGAGACAGGCTATCTACTGCAATAGCCGTACTTACCTGCTCACATTAATGAGCTCTGCTATGGGCATGGTGATGAGAAGTTATATGAAGTAGTTTACCAAACGAGATATCAGAAAGTTCAAACTTCTTGACTTCTGAGGTACGCTATTAAAAGCTCCTACGAGTATTTGTTTCAATTTAAGAAATGCTGCAATATTGCCCTGCGCGTTTAAGTAACTTGTGTAAAATAAATTCTAACCTGAATCTGGATAATTTGCATCTTACTTTATAAAGTTTTATCAAGCATTGTAATGTGTTCATAGTGTAAAACTCTAAAATCTTTTATAGTATTTCAGCAAACATGTTGCGGCTCCAAACAATTAGGCACATTATTTGTGCCTATTTCAAGAGGTTTACATTTTTGATAACTTTACAGTAAGAGGGCAGCAGCCAAAGAGTAGCGAGCAAGTGCGTTATGTTCACGGTGAAATTTTAATTCAGTCTGAGTTAGTTTTGGTTCTCAATACATATTGATTGGATAATTAATACTGCTGTAAAATAATTATTGGCTGTTTGAGTTTCAGTTCCATTTATATCATCAGAATTACGTAAGAATCATATAACATGGATTAGTTTCGAAATGACGCAGTCCAAATAGCGATTACTATTTTTAGAATACAGAAAGAAAATTAATTTACTTTGCTAATTTAAATTATTGTATAACTAATTTAATTATAATTTATAATTTTACATATTTTTTATTTTTTCTTACATATGCTTTAATACCTTCTTCTAAAAAGGCTTTTCTGTCGCCAACCCTTTTCCTCTTTGAAGGGGGATATGTAAGATAAAAAAATATGTAAATCAGCTTTATAATTTAATTTATTAATAACTTCTTAATCCCTCATTTTTAATTTGGGTACTTCGTTTCTCTGTTCTAAAAATAACATTTCTGGACTGCGGCATTTCTAAATTAATATAAACCTTCCGTAACTCTGATGGCGTAGTTTATTGGGAATCTAAACTCTGAGAACTAAAACTCTTCTAACCTAAACCAAAACCTTCCTCTTGGTGAGTTGTCGTGTTAGATAATTGCGTATTTTTAGCTTCACCCTATGTGGTGCTTGGACGCTGCTGGCTATCGCAATAGCATTAATGTAAATGTTCATGAAGGGGCAAGATTAGAGTGCCAAATGAATTGTAGTCACAAATTTGAATTTAAATAAAAATGGAATTTAATCCAGCTCGACTTCGACATGGTTCACCTCTTGAATATGGGGGGACACTCTAAGCATCAAGTATCTACGCCGAACAACACTGCTACGCTTCTACGTCTCAATGTACCTATATCAGTACTTCTAAAAATTTGTTTTCATCACATTTTCATTACATATATGTAGCGGTAGATCCTTCCACAACATTTACTTCTACTTCAACTTAGCAAAGCCTTGACGAAGTGCAGTGTAGCTTGCAGATCAACAGACGAGCATCGGAAGTACTGGAGATAAGACGCGTTCCAGACAAGTGGATATTCTGAGATGGAATGGAAGTGGACAGACGGTCCGCAAGTCTATCAGGATGTTTGTCCATAGTAGCTGAGAGGGCAGACGGGCCCTTGAATGTATTTCTTAGGACTGAGTATTAGCCATCGTTATATTATCCTGGTATATTGTCGGACTTCTTTCACCATGAGATTACCAGTGGAACTATTAACTTTTACTTTTTATCTTTTATTTCCTTTATTTAATATTAGTAAAAATAAAGGAGTAATTATGCTTTAAATGTGCTCTCCCCATGTATTTGAAAGTAAATACTACATATATATGTCTATATTAATTATTTTTAAATTAATGTTATATACTCTAATTTAACTACGAATAACTGTGTTTATTGCCTTATTTAATGTATTATTTTAACTTTTTGCATGAGCAGTCCTGTTAATTATTTATTGTCATAGTTAATGTACCAAGCATATCTATGTAACTCAGTTATACCTTTATTGCATTTATCTACAGAACTCATTAACTGTTCAAGTTGTGAAAGCCCTTTAAGGGTATTTAAGTTGAATCTATCCATCTCTAACTCTGGACATGTGGAAACTGAAATTGTTCTCCCGGTCCAGATTGGACCCATCTACCATCCCTCAACCACTGATTCGTCTAGCACTCATCTTGCACAAAACACATCAAAATGTGTTTCGTGGACTATGACTCTTGAAAAGAAGTGAAACACATAATTTTACTTGCTCTTCCTTCACATATCGCCTGCAATCCGGGAGCTTTTGTAGCAAAGTTATTTCCGTCAATGGGACCACCTGGCTGATACGCTAACTGCCCCAGCGGATCGGCTGTCTCGCTTCCGTTAGAAGGAAAGAAAAGAAAGTTATTTATTGTTAGCTATCATTTTCAATATTAGCAGCGACATCAGTATTTTGGCGGAGTTTCATGCATTCGCCTATTCGTTCATTGGAGAATCGGCAGCTTATAAGTAAATTATAAGATTAGTTAAATAAATTAACAAATAATTCTAGAAACATAAAGCAGAAAATTGATGTTTCTTAGACGGTTAGTTTTAACTTAAATAAATAAGTTGGTATTCTTCATTCAGTCCTATGCGTAATATTAACGACTTAATTGTAGAGATGATTGGTTTATTTACTTTTTTCATTACAGCAGACTAGGGCTATCTGCCTAAGGGAAGGAATGTCTTCGTGGAGGGCGTTTTTGGAAAAGTGGCTCGTAGCCACATTACACATGGGTAAATCCTCGAAAACGCCCATGCATACAGCCCGTTTGCCTGAAGTCGAAACGAGGTCGAACTACCAGGTTTCAGCGATTTTACTTTCGTTCACCGGCCCAGAGTTCTAGAGAAGAAACTGCTTGGTATGTAGAAATTTTCCGCAGAAAATATTTTGAAATTGGTAAATTCTGCAAAGAGAAATACGGCTGATATATTAATAAATATGTATGACTTACTTCAAATCTCGGCTTATGTGAAATGAGTGTTAATGGAGGTTCTTGCAAATACACGGCCACGACAACAGAGCTGAAACAGAAATGTATATGGAATTAAAATCTGTTTTTTTTTTAATATTTGAATAGTTGAGAGTTATTTAAATAAATTTAAATAATAAATTTTGAATGCTATTTAGTTGCTTGATTTTTGTGTTCCTTAGTTTTAATTAAACAGAAATAATTTACATTTACAAAAATAACTTACGTTTATACGACCAAACTTTTATTTCAAAATTTTAAATCTAAAACTGATTTCTCTGATTTCAAAACTAAATTTTTTATTTTAATGTACTATAATAGTCATAATGACAGAATTACTTTCAAATATACATATAAGACATATTTAACTAGTTAACTATTCAAATCATTATTTGAGTTTTATTTTAATTTGCTTAAGCAGTTATTTTATGTTCTGAATTTTTACTGTCAATTCTCTATTTCCGTTTTCCAGCCAGAATGCAAATTAGCTTGAGTGTATATATGTGAAAGTTTGAGATTGTTAAGTTAAAACATGTGTTCTGCCATATGAAGGCTACGTTATTAATTTGCTATACTAGATAAGACTTCTTGTCTTCGGCGTTGCTGCATGCCGATAGTTCATATTCACACAGGAGAATTGAGAGCCAACTTCCCGATTAAATTGTTCTGCGTATCCTTTGGATATTATCTACTTAAATTTAGTTCTACATTTGAATACCTACTTCGACTCTCTCGCCATAAGTGCTGGCGGACTGTGCAAGCACCAGGAATGCCTTCTTTTCATCTTAATAAGCTTAAAATAATTTTATTAGGGTCTTTTTCACCGTTCGAAAGTTTCTGTACTTACTCTCTTAGACCAATAGATAATTCGCTTTACGTTTCTCTAAGGTTTCGCCACATTTTACAATAGTAAAAGAAGTTAAACTTCATAACTTGGTTGAATATTTTCAAATATCGCATTTTGCCGCCGTATAAGACGCACTCCCGTTTTGATACACATCTTTGACGGATAAAACTGGATTACTTATCATTGTAATGAATTTACAATATATTAACTATAAAGTAATACAAGTACAAAGTAATACTTTCAGTAAATACCCAGTCTATCTGGGAAAGTGCACCTTTTAATCTTTTTCGTCAAAACCCAGACACTCATCTCCAGAGCTAAATGAAGAGTCACTTGAATCCTCTTCTAAATCAGCATCTGAGTCTTCATACAACAAACTGTCCTCTGTACCATCCAGTGTATTACTAATGCCACACTTCTTAAATGATTTAACCACTGTCTCTGTTTTCACAGCATCCCATAAAGCTTTGACCGAGTAACAAACTTGAGAAATAAAGAAACTGAGTATCAACGTATAAGACGCACCCTGTTTTTCGGACCTATTTTAAGAAAAAAGTGCCTCTTATACGCCGGTAAATATAGGTAATTTTTTGTTTGAATTATAAATGTATCAGAAAATAGTTTTGCATCTGCAGGACAGTAACTCTACAATCCTGTTCAGAATCAAAAGTTTGTATCTAACGTGACCTACGACAAAAATTTCAGTTTACATGCTAACAATAAAACATTAATAGTGTTAGAAAATACTCATAATTCTAAGGTGAACATTTTACGGCATTCCCATTTGAAGTAAAGCTATTCATACAGTATCCAGATATCAATGTATTATAATTATCTTTCAAATTTCTTCAATGTATGCGTTTTCAATTTTCAAATTCATGCTCTTGCAGTTCCTTTCAGATCTTATGGTTTTAGTTATTTTTTTTAAATAATTTATTATAAAGTGTAAATAGTAATAAACGCCAACAAGTTTTTATTTTATTTGGAGCATTATAGTCAAAACTGATTTAGTTCGATTTGTCTAATTCTGTTTGAAACTGATCCAAAAATTACATGCGACATTAGGTCTGAGTAGATCACCAACTGAGAATTCATCATCATTGGGTTCGTCCCTTACTGGGAATTCATCACAAAATTGATTCGAAGCGTACTGGATTTTGAAATCCGATTTAATGAACATCTTTTAAAATCCAATAAACTTTGAATATTTTAATTAGATTGAAATAAGATTTGTAGCTCAAAATATAAAATATTATTATGCTTACTCTTTGCCAGCCGTGCTACCAGGAAACTGAAAAAATAAAAGAAATTAATGCTTTCATTAAAACAAATCAGTGCATTTTATTATTAGACATTTGGGCCTGATATTATCATACCTTGGTAAACAAAATTTAGCGAGCCCTTTTCACAGACACAGGAGTGATAATATTTATGTAAATCAAGGGCAAATCTGCATGATCAAATTTCCATGCTCTAATATAAAGGCAATAGTATTATCACTCCAGACGTGATAAGACATTATAATGTAATTTTAGTTTTAAGAAAGAATGCATTAAGTAATAGTATTCTATTCAATATTCTCAGTTTTTTTTTTTCTTCTAAATTTCTATTATTACACGTCTTAATGTGATCACTCTGTAGCATCAAAGGAAGATTCTAAATGAATCTCTTTAGACTTAAAAATTATTTGAAAATGAATAATTTTTGCGTTATTTTTGCTTCCAGAAAAATTATAATATAACTCGATGCTAATTCATCATTCTCATTGTAACTTTTGAAGTATCTTGCTTAATAACTTTGTAAAATCGGTTATTCTACAGCTAGGTGGTGTATGGTGTATTCTATTATGGCAAAGCACACTAGGGCTATCTGCCTAAGGGAAGGGATGCCTTCGTGGAGGACTTTCTAAGGGAAACTGGCTCGTATACACGTTACACATGGGACCACGAAAACACCCATGCAGCCAGCCCGTTCGCGGGATTCGAGCCTCGGACCGAACTACCAGTGTTCAGCGACTTTACCGCTCGGCCGCTGGTGGACCATTCTACAGCTAGGTGTTACAGCTTTCTAAAACTCTTGCCAGAAGTGCGAATAAACTTCGTTTCATTTTTCAGCAAACTTTATTATATGGTAAATAATGCATGAAAACATTATATATAACACCATAAAATGAAAAAAAAAAAAAAAAAAAAAAAAAAAAACGTAGTCCACAATTCATTTGTTGGCAGTTATCATATTCTTCCGTGCTTACTGATGGGGTATAAAATGGACTAATAGATCCAACTGGTAAAGGGAAGTTCCGTGATTCGTATCTTCCGGAAAGATTTTGTCACGTTTCCTGCATAAAGAAGTCCTAATATTCTCAAAAATATAGTAGATAATATAAATGCGGTCGCATATAGAAGTAATCGGTTGGGTCTCTTGCCATTTCCCGTCATACAAGTCTGGATATTTGGTTATCTTGCATTTTCTGCTTTAGAAATTTCGTTTGTTATCTATAATGTTAATATCCCAAAGCTGTATCTATACAGTAAAACAAAAATTATGTATGTTTTATAAAAATATCATTCGAATTCAGTACGTTAAGTAATACAAGAATGGGATTAAGCTTCCTTAAAAAATTATATAAAAGAGGAAAAAAAAATACCAAAAATTAATTTCACGGTATGTAATAATGTATGATATCAAATATTTACTAATATTAAATATTTGTTGATATTAATGTGTTTCAAATTATTATATTATTAGACTAAGATGCCCATATGTAACAGACAGATTTTAAGATACTGAAAGATTAGTAATATTTAACATTTTAATATGTTTGGAAGAAAGGAGTTTTATTCAGTTTGAGTATTGCAAATAAAGAATCACTTCCTGAAAATTATTTTCAAGCATAATATTTTTGGTTAAAACTAGAAATATTTGATTTCAATGTATAAAAATAACTGAACTAAATACTTACTGAAGTATGAACTGCTTGAATGGTGTAAATATATCTCCATTTTCTAAATTAAAAAGAAAAGAAACAATGTTTTTATTCCTAAAGTAAAAGTTATGGTTTGCAGTAGAATATGATATTAAAGCTCTAATTCAGAAGTCAAACAACAAAAATCAGCGTAATATTTTCACAATTTTTACAGGACTAGGAACCGCAAAAATGCGGTTTTGCAGCTGAGGATGGTGGTTCGGTAAAACCATCGAAACTAGTCCTGTAAAAATTTTGAAAATATTACGCTGATTTTTGTTGTTTGACTTCTGAATTAGTATTTATTCGGCGTATTATTGTGTCTTAATTAAAGCTCTATGCAAATGTTACTTTATTAATTAAAACTTACTCGCAATTATCTTTACAGCTATCCAAACACACGTTTTTGTCGTAGTCTTGTCTAAGTCTTAAAGAACGCTCACAGGTACCTGAAAAATAGAAATGAAAATACTCTTAAAACTTGAAAATGTATGCATCTTTGTCTGATAACATTGGAATCAAAATTAGCATAGTAAAATACTGATATTTTGTTTTACAAATGTATATTACGATTTTTTTGAAGAAACCTTAAAAATCTCACAAATGCTGATTCATAATTCTGATGCAAATTATGTAATTATACGCCAAGTATATAGCACTATATAATAAAATGTCTTTTCTGAATGTTTACATGCCCTTTCTATCTTATGTTATTATTAAACGTTTTACATATGTATGAAAATGAAATATTTTAAATTAACTATATAGAATTAATTGAGTTACGAATTAATTAAATTTTATTATTATATAATTAAATTATGATTAAATGATCATGACATAATTGATTTATTTAAATAAGTAAAAATTTGAAGCTATTGAATAGTAATTGTTTGAACAAAATCTCTAAGACTAACGTAAACCGAATTGTTTATTATGTTTTCAAGGTAGTTCAATATTTGATTACTCAATTACTAAGTTAATTGTACAGTTTTATTGCAAAAACGAGTCGAGATTCTTCTTTACAGTAGCAAACTTACCAAGAATGTCTTCGTCCTCTCCATGGAATAACCAAGGAAATGAGTAACGCAGCAAATAAAAGCTTTTATACTTCAATAAAATCCCATTATTATCCTTTATTGACCAACTGGTACAGATCACCAGCGGTAAGTTTAAAATGACCTTAAATCTTCTCATTTTTTAATAATGGCTGTCGGATTAGGAATGCCATGAATGCAAAAGAGTTTGGCCAAGGCCGTTCCTAGTAAGGGTGCAACACGTAAAAGTATGTATGTAGGCGGCGAAAATCAGGGGCGGCTGGATTCTTGCTATACCACAACTAAATATCTTAAATTCATTGTAAGTTTTTGTCATATGTAAGCACTTTTATCCAATTTGTTACATGTAAGTACTTAGTGAGCATGAAATAAAAAATTTATTCATCATTGCGCATTTTTTTTTTTTTTACAATTTGGGGGCAGCAAACCTAGGAAAGTTCTCGGGCAGCCAATGGCTTCTTTTTCTCCGTTTTAGATGCATTTTTAGCAAATTTTAGTCAATAAGTTGTAGAGTCATTAGGTTAACTGGAAGCAGGAGAGATGAAAAATATGCAACGCCTTCGCCGGGGATCGAACCGCGCCTAACGTCCAGACCACCACACTACGAAGGCATGCTAAGAAGGCGGCAGAAATACCTTATATACTCCCCTTTTAAAGGGGGCGACTGGAGTTTTTAGAGGACCCAATCCCCAAATCCTGGGTGAGGAGAATTACCATCCAACACCCTTTTTAGTTCGGGCGCCACTATAGAGTCATTCGGTTAATATTTGGAAGCAGGAGAGATAAAAAATATGCAATGTCTTCGCCGGGAATCGAAACGCGGACCTCTGGAATACGCGCCCAGCGTGCAGACCACCACGCTACGAAGACATGCTAAAAAGACGGGAGAAATACCTTATAAAGCATCCGAGCCGCTTAAAATTTAAACGGTTGTTGGAAATCTTTTATTCAGGGAAGATGTAACACAGTGTTTAAGTATCGCATTAATAATTAAGCAAGTGTAAGTTGAAGATAAACAAAAGAAAAAATAAAACAAATTTAGCAAATTCAAAAGACAAAAATAGTATACCTACTATTACATAAATGTTTCAGAAGAAATGCGTCGCCTTGGTACATGCGCAAAGATAAACAATCGCATTCAATAATCGAGGTGACTGTACGCTTTTTCTCGCACATAGCTTCACATATCTGCAACAAGATAATTAATTAGCTTATGAACGAAAAATCTCATATTTTATATGATCGGAAGAAATTTATTGAACATGAGAAATCAGTTACTTCTTTAGATCTCGGGCCTCTTTTGTTATTGGAAATCCATTCCTGTGTATAATTCCTGCAATCTGTCGTATATGGATATGGAAGTAACATTTCTTTTTCCTGAAAGATATATCAAAAGTATACTTCCATTTATTTATTTATTTTCACTAACCCACACTGAGCGCCACCTGAGATAACCACTGACCTGACTTTGTTGTAAAAGTCTTACAGTGTTAATAGTCATCCTGGCAGAAGGGAAAATTTCCTCCGTGTAAAAATATACATATAAATATTACATGGGCATACAATGCCTGTGTATAAGCATAGATATGTTGATTACAATCATTGTCTTGTACAAGTTACATGTGATAGATACATAAAATCATGACAGCTATGTGTACATTTAAACATTATATGAATTCATATTTACAATACTTTTACTAAGATAATCAAATTGTAATTCATTTACACATTGACTGGATTTTCAATATCATTTAAACTGCTTTACAGAGATGGACGATCCTCTCCGGAACTGATTAAAAAAAACGGTTTCCCTTATTCAGCGAATGTACTCCGATTTCAGAAAAACGGAATTGAAGCTCTTTTACAGTTCAGAGACAGCTTTTGTTGGAAGAGCGCCAGGAATAAAGATCTGCTATTTTTTTCACGAACTAATTTACTTTAGTCAGCGAGCGAACGCCTGATGCGCGAAAGAGTGGATTCTTGTTGGAAGGGCGCTCAGATAGTTCCATTTCCATTTTAGGGAGATAAGAATGTTTATCTTTCCATGGGGGCTAAAAGTGAGTTTAATTTTTGTTTCATTCTCTAAAATAATAATAATAATAATAATAATAATAATAAAATAGTTCTATTATTAGTTCTGTGTAGAAAAGAAGTTTCAAGGAATGTGAAAACTACAGCTGAAAGAAATCAATTCAGGAAGTTGGCGTTTGATTGAGGCGATTTTTCCGATCCCATTATTGGTACTATTTTTTTCTCCTTTTATTCCTACTTGGCTAACCGTTCCCTGTCCCACAGCTTATTTGATCCTTTCCGCTCTTCGCTCTATCCTCTCTAACCGGTCTTGGCTACCCCCTCGCTCCGGATCTTTTCACCAAGATTATTATTAATGAGCGGTGAATCGTAAAAAAAGTGCCAATTGTTTTCAGTGATGGAACGGTTCTGATCCGATCCCATAAAAGAGCGATTTTGCCCATCTCTAGCCTACTGACACATACGGAGGATTGAAGTAAACAAAATGTAGTGAAAAAATATATTTTCGGAAGAAATTTCTCAAGAGACTCACTAAAGTTTCCGATTAATTTTTTTTCATGTTATGTGTAATTTCTGGTAATTTTTAAATAACTACAGTATTTATTCAACAAAATTGGCAAATTATTTCTAATCTGCAAATATGAAGTGTCATCAAAGGTTCATGTAGTGGCCACTGTTGTGTCTCTCACGCGTGTGTGACAGTGAGCCTGGTAACAACGGCAGTAGCATGGTTACAAAATTCTATGCGAGGGTTAAAACCTTTCAGGTGTTTGAGAGTATCTCGTTTTGAAGTATCTCTTTCTCAGAGCTAATTTTAATTCTTAACATTACATTATAAAATGGAGTTCTGTTTTAGAGGGTGACTTATGAAATGAAATTCGCATGAATTATCGCCCGAATGCATTAAGTCGCATGGATATCCGATTTATGACTGAATGAGGTGTTCGAGTGTTAAAAGTTTCAAGTTTAGGAGAGTCACACCAGACTTATTCTCAATATGCAGAAAAGTAGAATTTTGACAATTATGGTGTGATAGAAATTATGATATGTATAAAAAGAGAAAACCGAATGTATCAGTTTAGTATAGGATAATTACCTTCAATATGGAGTGTAATCTCCCCTAGAAGTCATAGAACACATACAGCGATGTGCGATGTTGTTAATTATACAATCTATCAGTTCCGTAGGAAGTGAGAGCCATTATTCTTGCAAAGCAGTTGCAAGCGTGATAAGGGTCTGAAGAAGAGGCTTGAGAGCAGCTATATGTCTTTCTAAAACATCGCAAACATGCTCCATAGGATTCATGTCTGGCGACTCAGCTGGCCACTCCATGTGCTGAATTGTTTGCTGCTGAAAATAATCATCCACGATGCGAGCCCTGTGCGGTCTAGCTTTGTCGTCCTGTAGCAAGAAATTATCATCTATTGCCCTGGCATAAGGGCGCGCATAAGCATCAAGGATGTCACCTCTATAGGTATTTACTTAACGGTACAATTATTGTATTGTGTAAAATCTTTAAATATCAGTAAAAAAATGCTTGCTTTCCGCGTTTGAATTTGATAGCTTGTGTTTTAGGAGTACACTTGGCAAAGTATATTATTGAAGCTTTGCCCTTAATTGACGTTTCGATATAGTACTGGACATATGTTACTGTTGCCCTGAGCTAGATAGAATGACAGAAAAACTGGGCGTATTCGTAAATAACAGAGTAAAGGAAATTCGGAAAATCTTGAGATAGGAATGTTGGAGGTACATCCCAGGTAAATTGAATCTTGCAGATGTGGCATCTCGCAGTGGCCTCCGAAACTTTTATGGCGTTGCAGGTGGTGGGAGCGTTCAGAATTTCTGAAAACCCCACAGGAAGATTTGCCAGACTTTTTTTGCCAGATGGAGTTTCTGTTATGGCAGAAATTAAAAAGGAATGTTTGCCAATTTGAGCGTAAAAAAATAAGATCCTGAATGGTATTAACGTTATTCAAGTTTTTCTGAAATAGAGTATTCTGCTGGATTTTACCCTATGCTAACAAATCTATACAAAATCCCTCCTAGGTTTCACGTACCCTAAACAGTAGAGAGAAAAAAACTTACGCCGAAACACTTCTGGTGAATTTAGAACAAAGGAATTATTCTAGAAAGAAAGAAGATTCCGTCTATAGACTTTTGGTGGCGGTAGACAACGATGGAGCCCCAGAGTCAAAACTAAGATCATTGAACGTAATGATAAATTTTCCTTCCTTTATACGCTCTTGCTTCCCTCCAAGGACTATCTGACCGAATGCCTCATAACAGAGTGTCATGTAAAGAGCTGTCATGCTGGCATGCAGATTTTGGCAGCCAAATTAAGAGAACGACACTGGATCATTTAGTCCAAGCGAAATATATGATCTTCCGTGAGCTGATATGTCTCTGCAGGAGATTCAATGCCAAAGTTTTATCCACACTTCCGATACAGTTACCCCTTGATAGGGTAAGAGATTCCTCAAACTTTGAAACAATTGGAGTCAATCTCAGTGGCCCTTTGCTTCTGAGACTAAAGGGAAAAGCTTGGATCGTCTTGTTCACCTGCACCGGGTAAATGGCGGTTCATCTAGAGCCTATCATCTCTCTGAGTACCGACGCTTTTCTGCAGACTCTGAGACGATTCACTGCTAGACAGGGCTGTCCTTCGACAGTGTATTCAGATAACGGAACCAATTTCACGGACCAGATAATGCTCTGAGACGCCTTGATCGTCGCAAAATCACGGAAAACTATTTTTTTCCAACAAAGCGGAAGTTCATTCCCCTTAGGGTTGCGTGGGGGGATGGTGGGCACGTTTATTTCGTTCTACTAAGACCTTTCTCGTTAAAATTTTGGTTACTGACAGTACTGTGTGCTGTTGAATCCACATAAAATAGCCGTTCCTTAACATACATCGCGGATGATTCATAAGAGATCCTATTTCTGACACGTTTTTTTATTTCTGCAGGACATAAAGTAGGTGACAGCGCCAGATCTAGATTATATCGACTCCCAAGAAATTGAATGTGCGAGCCAACTACTGCAATATACTGAGGCAAGAGCTGAGAAGTGACATCCGCAAAGAATATCTAGCCCAGGTTGTGCAGAAAGCCAGTTTTTCATGTCAAGAACTAAATGAACATTGAGACGTAATCGCACAGAACTAGAAAAACAAAAAACTTGCATTGAGACTCATTGGTGAAATTGTAAAAATTTTTGACAGTAGAGATCGTGCTAAGAGAACGGTACAAGTGAAAATCAGTACAGGATATTTAGTAAGACCAATCAGAAAACTATATCCACAAGAGGTTTCAGCTGCCAAGGATACTGTGCTAATCCTGGCCACTGAAAATAGATTTAGATATGAGAGGTTTTTAAAAGCGATCAAACACTCATTAACATTATATACAATATAGAGTTTTTGGAATTTCAATTTTGTTTACCAATGACTGTTTTTGTGTTCAGTTTATTCTTTGTTAACCTCATTTTAATATGTCATGTCATATATGCTGTGTTTTCATCGCTTTTATCTTTCATGGTTTTCTAATTAATATACAAGTGTTGTTTTATACCTGGTTCTTAATGTTAGAAAAATTTGCATAATGTCTGATTTTTAGAAAATCAGGCTGGGATGATATTGTGTCTATATCGTGTCTGACACGTATATGCGAGAATGAGCCTGACAACAACGGCAATAGTAACTGTTGAAACTTTTCTCACCGAACACCACGTGATTTGCGTATGCGCGCAGCAAAAAACTAAAAGCGAACTATAACTGAACTTTGAGAACTCGTGATGGACGTTTGAGTGAAACGTGTCTCTTCTGTGTTATATATATATTTTTTAGTGTAGTGATGTGATTTGTAAATTAGATATCTTATTATCTTAAAAGCCTCACTTTTTGCGTGAGTTGCGCTTTTGATGTGTGTAATTAATAAAAAAATATTCCTGGATATGCCTTTGGATCGAGAAAGAAGATCATTTGAAAGGTAAGCCTTTTAACCTTTACTTTTTAAGAATGATTATGCTGTTAATCATGACATGAACATTACATTTTTTTGCATCCCTGCCGGTATGAAAGCAAATTAATCACCCCTGTTGGGATGTTCGAGTTTCAAACGTTTCAAGTTTAGGAAAGTCACGCCAAGATTTTTCTATGAACGCAGATTTGTAGAGTTTATATTATTGTAGATGTCCATAATATATAACTTCAAATACACTCATGTCCAAAAATTAAGGATAATGCAAAATCAGGCAAAGGAAGAGTTAGAAGCAAAACAAATTTGACTTATTTGTAAAGCTTATTTATTAAACAAAAGGTAAAGAGCAAAAAAAGATGTGATATGTTTGATATTATTAAAAAAATTAGCGATTTTTTCTCCTTGGAGCAAATAAAAAAAAAAAAAAAAAAAAAAAAAAAAAAAAAAACTATTTACAAAAAACCAATATTACATGGTTGGTATGATTGTTAATACACTGTATGTCTCTCAGACGATGCAATACAGTCCGTACAACGCATAGGCATGCTGAGTATCAAATAATTCGATCTGATCTTGGGGGATATTACACCACTCAAAAAGCAATGCTCTCCGAAGTTCCGGTAGACATGTAGGAGGAAGTTGACGGGCTGCAACTCATCGGCCAAGCATGTCCTACACGTGCTCTACTGGATTCAAGTCCGGTGAGAATGCTAGCCATTCCATACGGGCGATATCCTCCGATTGAAGGCATGCGCTGAGGACGGGCGTGTCATCCATAAACACAAAGTGTGCGCTCATGGCGCCCCGAAACAAACGTACATGTTATTCCAGAATGACGTCCCGATCGATTTGGCTTGTCATGGTTCCAATTTGAACATGCAGGTCAGTTCTGGAACCCAGAATAATTCCACCCCAAACGAGCACTCCTACACCACCGTAATGGTATCGTTTAATGATGGTTTCTTGGTGGTAACGGGTACCTGGAGCTCTCCTTGTGAAAGTCCGGCGATAATAAGACTGCAAGCTAAACCTGGACTCGTCGGAAAGAATCACACAAGCCCACTGTTACGGTGTCTACAATGCATGCTCTCTACTCCAGCCTAACCGCAGGCGACAGTGAGTTGCAGTAAGTGGAACGCATCTAACAGGTCTACGAGCATATAGACCAATCTGCTCTAAGAGTCTGTACACGGTCTGCCTTGAAATTGTCGTATCAGTGGCTGAAGAGAGCTGACGAGACAGGTCTGAGGCTGTGTTCCGCCTGTTTCTTTTGGCAGTAACTGCCAAATACCGGTCCTCATTCGGCGTTGTAACTCTGGGGCGACCTGTGCTGTAACGTCTATTCACATTACCATCATATTGGAATCGTTACCAAAGCCTGGAGATGACACTCTGGGCAATTCCAAGTTCGTCTGATACTTCCAGTTGGGTACGCCCACATTCCAAACGGCTGACAATTATAACACGTAAAAAATCATCCAAATGCGTCCTTTGTGTTATAACTATTCGGTTATTGCACTGAAATGCTTATAAAGCGCCTGCGAACAATTTTACTTCTCTGCCTGTATTCCTTATATAGCACTCTCTTACACTCTCGTCATTGTGAGGTACCATCGGTGTCATCTGGTTACTTCCTGAAATTTGCATATGATTCTTGAAGATGTATGTAGTGATTTTACAGGTGATATATTTATTTTAGAGTTCGATTTCCGCGTGACTCCGAATTATCCTTAATTTATGGACATGAGTGTAGAACTGTATTAAATGTTCAAAAGATTCAGTATTGTATATTTATTTTGTCCTAATTGAGAAATTAGGACAAAATATTCTACGTCTATACATATTCTACGGAGCCTGTTGCAGCCAGTTGTGTAAAGAAATAATAAATATGTAGTAATAAGACTATATATAGTTGAGAGTTTTGCTCGAGACAGCCGCTTTAACAAGGAAGAACCTTTTTTCTCTTTTATCAAAGTTTTTTTTGACAGCTGATACTGTTTCTTCGGAAGTCTTTTTTTTTTCCTTTCTGTAGCATCTGGAAGTTAGATAATGGGTTACTAGGAGGACAAAGGAAGAGGACGAAAGTCTGGATAGAAGAAGAGCGGTATAAAATAAGCAACGAAAGTATGGAATAAGCAGTGAAAGTCTGCTGGCCAAACAGGTTTGCCGATGAGAGAAGTTTCATTATAATTATTTTATAAGATTTAAATGAAAGCTTATTTTATTTAAAATACTTTTAAGTGTTTTTTCTTCATCTTTTTAGTCTCAACGATGTATTATCAATGAAATTACTCAAATGAAAAATTGTGTTTCAACAATTAATAATTATTCTCTTGCTTTCAACAATTCTGTTACGTCAAATGATTTAGACAACCCAGCAATTTTTCAAAAAAAGTCGGGAATAACATTAAAATTAGTATGAACTTCAGTTAAAAATTCCTTTCGGTATATCCGATGAGGCAAACGGTAAAATTCTAAGCGTTTTAGTTTGTTCATTAAACGAAGATATGAGCACAAAAATTCTTCCGTCTTATATTTTAAAAATCTAAATTATTTTACATCGAAATTCGAAATATTATTCGTTGAAGATTTCTTTGCTCCTGATGAAGAGTCCTTGTTTGTCTCGAAATCGATAGTCTTGACTAAAATTTATGTCAAACACAAGATTACTACTTTGCCTAATTTTATGTTTGGTGTACTTCTTATCTGTTATGATCTAAAATTTATAGAAAAAGTAAGAAAGAGAACATTCGCTTCACCACACTGTATTTTGAGCGGGTGTAAAATTTCATACAAAAAAGTATTTCACTTATGTAAGTTTAAACACCATTTCCTTCAAAACATTTACTTTGCGCAGCAATGAACCCTGTTTCAGAGTTCTTACCACCGCTAGAATGCGGCTTCAAATTAGCTTTCCGTAAACGTATCCATACCCTTTTGCGACTAATGCTAGATCTTAGTAATCGTGCGAAAACGGCGAACTTTCAGTTGTATCATCATTTTAGGGAAAGGGAAGTAGTCGACAGGAGCTAATTTGAGAAACTGGGTAAGTGGAAAAACGATAATATCCTCTGGCCTTGGGTTTTAGCAGCGGAGGCCGGGAAACTCAAACAGAATGATCGCCTTTGTGATGTGAATCATCTCCCCTTCTTCGAACATGGAAAAAACGTGCTCTTCCCTTGAGATGACTGCTGCCTTATCTCAGGCAGTAAATGCAAGTTTCGTCAACAGTGATGATCCTGGACGTGAACTAGAGATGGGTTAAACTGCTCGTTTATGTGATCGGATCAAAATCATTCGTTAATTAAAATGAATAGGTTTCTCCCTATGATTCGCCACACGCTAACAATAATCTTGCTAGAAATGATCGTAAGCGAGGGCTGAATCAAGAACAGTTGGCGAGGATGGAGCGAAAAGCAGAAAGAATCGGGGGGAGCAGTTTGATCCGTAACGTTCAGTGAGGTCGGAGTGAAGGGCTGAAAAGAATCAAATGAACAAAGGGATCGGTAGATTCGAATCAATGAAACGCTGAACTTCTAATCTGATTTCTTTTAGTTACAGTTTTGAGACTTCCTGAAACCTGCTTTCTACAGAGAACTAAGAATAATAATTTTTCAAAAAGTTGAGAAACAATAAAAATTAATCAGACTTTTAACATGGAAGGATAGACACTTATTTCTTCCCTAAAATGGGAATCGAATTTTACTGGCACGCTTCCAGCAACAGAGGTTGAACTCTCAATTCCCCTCTTTTTTTTGCTAATTACGCGCTCACTCGTTCCGTTAATCAGTTCGTGAAAGAATAGCAGATCTCAATTCCTGGCCCTCTTCGAACAAGAATTCTCCGTGAAGTGTAAAAAGAAGCTGCGTTTTCTGGAATTGAAGATTTACTCAGTAAATTGAATAGACTTTTTGATCAGTTCCGGAGCGAATCGTTATCAGCAAGAAGTTATCAACAATTTTAAAGGATTTCCATCGGTTGAAAAATGAAGCCATGCAAATCAAGTAATCATGCAAATTGCGGAAGTAAACAGTGGCAAAGGATTTTCAGATATAGAAGACGTTAAAAAATTAATCGAGAAATGACGAATAAATAGCCAGTTACTCGTAAACTTGCAACGCTAGTGGATATTGGAAGCAGTGATAATTAAGAAGATAAAGCGCCATTAATACCCATTAATTAATACTAATATATTAATACCATATTAATACCATATTAAGTTAATACCATATTAAGTAATACCATATTAAGTTAAATTATTACCATAATTACCATAATTAATACCATATTAAGTTAAATAAATTGTCAAGAAAAGATACGGGAACTCTTGATTTTGTTATGGAAAGTGATTCAAACAAAGAAAGAGGAGTACATTTCATGAGAGGAATTGAAAAATCTTTGCGCTTCTCACTGTGAAATTTTTAGAGTAGTGTTTGCTTTTGAATGTCGCTGCAAGATAAGTAATAACTTCTAACTTTGTCGTGTCATAAGGTGTGTATGAATTTGAAAATCAGATGAAAAATAAAGTACTTGTTGCTTTATTAGTCCAAAGGCCCCATTAATTTAGTTCTAGATTGAAAAGATATGCCATCATCCATATGTAATTAAATAAATGTATAAAAGTTTCATCTATAAATTAGTATTTCTATGCTTATTTCATTCGGAAAACTTTGTCACATTACGCAATATGTAAATAACTGAAAGAAATAGAAATTCTTCTTACCATTCTGACAAAAACTTGGTAATATTTCCCTGGTTGCAAAATATGCGGTTCAAAAGAGGGATCGAAGGGACCATGGATGGCGATCATCAACCCTGGTGTGATACTTGTTGTCACTATTTCGTTGGACATCAAATCAATTGAATACTTACCTATCAATATTTTACGTAGATCTCTAGATTTTTTCTCTAGCAAAACAAAATGGCAAAACTTAGCAAAAATATGAAATGTGTTTTTTTTTCTTTTAAATAATATACACAGTTTATTTACTGCGAATATAATCTATCTCTCTACCGATCGACATAGTATATTTCAATACAAAATATCAAATCAACTTTTCTGGATTCTTCCCAGGTCATGCTTTTTCACATTTTTTTAATGAAACACAGTTAATATTACAGACGAATTAAAACTAAAAGTGTGTACTATTTCCTCTTGGATCCGTTCTTAAATACCTCGATACGAATTTGTATTGATACAGTATACGCCGCGTAATGTGATCGCGGTGAATTTACCAGTCTTATATTGCTATCAATTTTCCGAAATCCCGCTCATTTGTATATGAAAACATGGAAAATACATTGCTTACTGTGATCAACAATTTGAATAAGCAATTCTACGAAGTATTATCGAATAATTTTTTTACCGAAGTAAAGTCGTCAAATAAAGTCAAAGTATATTGTAAAAATTACCAAGTGTCAGAAAAATGTCTCTAAATAAACTAATTAAATAATTAATAATAATTAAAAGAAAACTGTCGATAGAAAGTTTTCTTTTAATTTTGTAAATAATTTAAAATTAAGCTAAAATGCAGCCTTAGTGTGGTTTCGAATCTGAATAACTCTGTCGAGTTTGGGGATGATCAGGACCTACCCTGAAAACATTTACGCCAAACTGCTTTATTGCCTAATTTTAAATTTACATGTGCATGTTCTCTTTCATTATACGAGGGATGCCCTCCGAGTATGGAGATTAGGGGTATAGCATCAATCAATTCCAAAAATGTAACTTTTCATTAAAAACATTATGAACAATTCACAAACATATTTTTGCCTTTTCCTAATTAAAATGCTGTGAAAATACCCTATTTATACTTTTCTTGATATTTTTATATTAAATTAGTTAAATACTATTGCCATTTTGATGTCTATTTTTTCTTGTCTTTTATTATAATTCGGTTAATTTTATCAAACTACCAATGAACAAATGTGATCAAATTAAGCGTCGCCTATTGTAGCACTAATATAGATTGTTGGGATACAGGATGCTACTAGGGCCCATCAGTCAGTACATAGAAGAGTACTGAACACTGGTATTTCTTTTGGTTTACTTTATTATGGCAAAGCATACGACGGCTATCTGCTTAAGCGAAAGGATGCTTTCTTAAAGGGTTTTTTTTAGGAAAACTGGCCTGTATCCAAGTTAGCCCGTTAGCCTGGAATCGAGCTCAAGTTGAACTAAGTGTTCAGAAATTTTACCGCTGCTGGACGCTCACTGGTAGTTTAATCCAGGATCAGATCCTGAGAAAAAGGTGGTTGTATTACTTTAATTCATATTTCGTATTTGTATGGTGAATATGAGCCAGTTCCCTTTAGAAGGTCCTCCATGAAGATATCTCTATCCTTAGGCAGACAACGCTCGCTGGCATACTTCGGCATAACCCAATAAATATAAATTTAACTTGATTATATATTTTAGTTACAAACATATTAAACCTAAATACGCATTACTAATTATAAAAATTTCTTAAAATAAGATTAGAGACACGGATAAAAGAAACTTCAACACTGTAAGAAGATTTTTTTTTAAGAATAAAATGTAACTTTTTAACTGGGGCTTTTGCTCAATGCAGACTTAAACAATATTTCATTTTATATTTACAAATAATTCTCACTTGCAATATTGAAACAATTTTCATAAAATGTTTTATCTGAATTTGGCAATTTTTATAATTCGAAGCACATATTCAAGAAGGTATTTAAGAGTTTAATGGCTGCAAAGTTTTTCGAACATTTTATTTCTGCATTACCTCTAAAAAGTTCATTTATTCATTCAAGAATGATTTAAAAATTCCTGCACAGAGGCATACCTCACTTTAAGCAAACAGCAATTGTGGGCTTTGCAAATAAATCCAAATCCATATATGAATAATAAAACACTTTAAGAAATGACATTGCCGTCCATATTGTATGGCATATTTAGTAAGACAAGTTTAGCAGCTTAATATCACGGTTAATATTGTCATTCAGATACTATTATCGAATTGCCGAAGTCCCGCTCATTCGTATGCAAAATATAGACATAAATGGCATTGTTTCTACTCAAGCAAATTCTCCCAAAAAATAATAATAAATATAAATAAATTAAAGAAATATTAAAAAAATACTAAAAAGAAAACTTTAACAATTCCCAAATGACTGAAAAATGTCACCATTTAAGAGATAACAAACTGCTTCGATTTCATTTCGTGAACGATCGGACACAGATCTCTCAAAGAGAAGAACATGACAGATGATACGTGTAAGCGTTTTTCTGAAAGAAATCCAAGTTCATCACTCAATAAACTTTCTGAGGAATCTATATTACTAAAATCTATATGCTCGTCTGTCTTACAAATAGTCTGTCTGTTTGTTTGTGACATGATCTCTTCCCGAACGGCGGGGAGCTGAGTTTCGAGTGAAGTACCCCTGGATTCCAAAAATTCGTGGGAAACTAATTCGTTCTCTTCAACCGTTCTCTTCTTCGTGCGACTTTAATAAGCCTAGATATTAATTAAAAACTCTGAAAACGTTAATTTTCGCACTCATTTTTTCGAATGGCAACAGTCTCGTGCACTGGAGATAAAAATCTGCTTTATTTCTAAAAGTGTTGCCATTGCTCGCTTTCAAATCGTAGAGTTTGTCAATAAAAATTTGTAAGTTTTACAAAATATGGAATAAAATAGCATTGCCAGATGTTAAATATACTAATATTGTATAATTACGTTGAAGAAAGCACGCGACTGCATTGTGACGTTATTTATATGTTGAAAATCTTTCGTTAATGTCAGCATTTTAGCTAAATAGCTCCTGTTGTCATCTTTTTTGTTTCATATTAGGGTAATTGACAAGATATTTAATTGCCACGTTCTTTGTTTTATTGATATTGAGAAAAAGTTGTTATATTACATTAAATTTAAGTCATGATGTCATACGTATACGTATTAACCTGAAGTGGCAAAAGTTAAATAATTGTAAACGAGCGTGACCATATTGAGAGGCGCCGATTGTAAGATATATCAGAATGTAATCTCATACAATAACTCTTTTCTCGGGTTTATTTATACGACTTTGTACGTTACATAACAAAATCGAATTTGTTGCGAGTACTTACCAATTGCACTAGGAGAAAGTTCATTGTCTGCATGATAATCAGTCCTGTAGCAAGTTACTAAATCCCGCAAATTTCCCTGTAGATGGGTTACATAAGCATCGTTCGAAAATACTTTACTGCTGCAAAATTAAAAAAATAGAATTCTTTCAAAGAAGAAACTTCCTTTAGAACTGAAAATCAAACAAACTGAGTACACCAAATCAAGCATAAGTTTTCACTAGTTAAAGAATTTTAGCATCAAAATCAAGAATTGTAACATTCAATATTTTTAAAATGCATTCTTTAACTGAAATTTAACAAATCATTTATATCAGCATTGTAGAGTCATTAGGTTTATTCGAAGCCAGGAAACGCGAAAAATGAGTAGTGTCTTTGCCGGTACTCCAACCTCTCGAATACGCGCCGAGTGTGCTAGTCATTACATCACGAAGGCATGCTTAGAAGGCGAAAGAATACCTTATAAGCAACTCTCGATTACTCCTCCATATAGAAATCCTTGAAATAATTATCAGGTCTCAGGGAATTCTAGTATGAAGTGATTATTAGAATAGTTTCAAATAAAGACTCAATTTTATTTCACTAAAATATCAAAATAAAATTTTACAACCACCCTGTTGACACAGCAGTCGGCTGCCTTAGCTTGAGCTTGGATTTTAGACTTGAAGAAGAGCTTGAAGTTTGGAAAGAGTATAGCGTATTTTCGGCATGGAAGCAAGTAAAATGCTGCACAGTCGAATGCCCTCTCGAACGGTTAGTGGCAGATGAAAAGGGGTAGCTATACAAGATGGAGGGGGAGGATGCCACATGGTAGCTGCTAGTGGTAAGCAGGTGTATGTTTCTCTTTCTCACTGTCTAGAGACAATGCCTCTCATAGGGTCCCTGAGAAGGCTTCATCGGGAGTTAAATGAGCAAATGCAATAACATTTGCACTACTAAACAAGGGCTGAAGAGATGCTATTGGTATACAGAGGTTGTATAATTAATATATAAGTTCTGCTAGTCACATAATAAAACTATATATATATGCGTATATATAGAGAGAGTATATATTACTGGCAATGTATAAAACCCGGCATTCTGTAGAATACCTAGGGATTTTATAGAATATCGAAAACTGGTCGACAGTGTATGAAACGATTAACATTTCACAGATTTCTTAGGCATTCTATAGAATACCAAATGAAAGACCAGCAAAATATGAAATCTGTTTTGAATATCACGAATTCGTTTCGAATCATAAGATTAGAATCGATGCTGGGTTAAACTAATATGATGATGGCAGACTTACCTAAGAGATTTCTGTTTCTGCTACCTATGATCTGTTTTAAAGGAAGCCAGTGATGCAAATACGTACACAAAAGTGTCGTTAAAAAATGCATGCCTTCTGTGACCGCATGATGATGATAAAAATGATGAAATGGATACAATGTAATAAAATGATAATAATTTAAATCAGCAGTCGTCAACTCTTAGAGCTTCACGGACCACTAAATATATAATTTTATATTTGGTAGACACCTACTATGAATTTAAAAAAATAAATCAGACCTTAAGAACAACATATTAATATGCAAAAACAATATCCAATTTTCGAATACATGTAATTCTAATTTTCATTTAATAATATCATTTTCGAAACATTTAGTGTTCAGGAGCATGCCTTTATGGAAACTCAGGCTACGCCCCTGATTATGAGTAACAAATTAAAACACTATTAACATCTCACTGATACACATATTTCGTTCACATTGAAAAATTATATGAAAAGTACAAAAATCTTACCTTCTTATACAGAAAGCTTCACATTTCCATACCATTGAAAAGGAACTTCACGAAGAGCAAGAACGAAACCAACAAATATCAATAAACTTAAAGCGTTATGCCACCAACTTTTAATTATTGTAAACATAATAATCGTCGATTACTCAGCAATGGCGCAATAGACAACAGCTAGGAAAAAAAATTCCAGTGATGAAATTATAAACAAGAATGCAGATGGTTCTCATCAAAATCCATCAAGATGCCTACTGACACGGAGAGAAACTGTGTTATTAACGACTACAATAGCATATGTTTGTAATTCAAAAGGAAAGAGAATTCCATTTCGCGCTGTTATTGATAACAGTAGCATGTCCACGGATGTCAACTCTCACTTTCAAATGTCACTAGATACACCTGCAAAAGTAGCTAAAACATCCCTAAATTCAGAAGGAATTTCGCTGAAAATAGTAGCTAAAATTTAAAAAAAAAAAGTATAATCCATATTCCATAATAGGTTTTGCTACTTGTCATTTTTTAAACTGAATCTTCATAAAAATATAAATAATGTCTCAATTTTTTTCTTAATTTGCCTAAATCGCATTTATCATTTTATAGAATGCCTGGGTATTATACACAATACCTAGATAAAGAATCTAATAATTTTCCTACATTATACTTTGCCTAAACACGGCAAGCATTCTATAAAATGACTAAACATTCTGTAAAACGCCGATGCCGATAACATATACATTATATAAAATACATAAAATTCATTAACGTACATAACATAATAACATACAGTAAACATGAATAAACATACACATAAAACACAAGCATAGTTCACTGTTCAGTACTAATACAAGCATACTAATAATATATGAACTAACGCACTTAGTCTGGACGTATTAGCTTATTATGCTCAGTCACTAGTCAGGTTAGTTCACTGAGCCTAAGCTGACAAATATATTTGCCAACTGCTCCGATGATGATAAACATCTGCAAAAATAAATCCATTTTATTCCTAACACATTTTTGTGCCTAAATCTTTCACAGAATGCTCGCATATTTTGATGTTCAGTGTCAGGAAAGCAAATACAATGAAAAACTGGTGTCTTCCCCCCCCCTCATCCCATAAACTAAACTGTAAGATCTAAAAACACTTCTAATGTATACATTAGCAGTATTCAGAATTCACTAGTTCGTTATACATACAGTCGAACCTTTTACTTTGTTGCAAATTCTGTTGATGGCAGCTCGATCGAATTTTTACAACGATGCGTTGATATGCTTCCATGTTGCGTGACGGAAGTAACAAGTGCGTTTATCCCGTTAAGATTCAGTTATAGGAACGGTGGTCGGGGTTACCCTCTTGACCACAACTTCTGTATTTGAAATATTGCACCTCTTGTAGTACGAGGGGAAATGGGCAATGAGAAGTGACGAAGCGAGTGAGATGGGAAAATCCATGTGCTGCATGGTTGAAACTTTTGGGACGAAGAAATATGCGCGTCGTTCTCTTCTTGTTGCTATTGCTCTTTTTGTCACTGTTTTCCCATTCTTGTTGCCATTACTCTTGGGAATGGATTCAAGGAAAAGGGATATAAAATCTTCCGATACGCATCCTGAGATATTCTGCATCAAAAGCGAAATATACCTTCCTCTTGCTTTCTAATATACACTCTATAACAAAAAACTCGACGCACCAAGAAGGAGTTGTCCGAAGGAAAGAAAAATTGGTGAATAGGAAGATTATGTAGAGAATAGAAAATGATTAAAATTTCAGAACAATTGAATGATTTATTTTAGAGTTACGCAGTTGCAAAGTAACGAGCTCAGTAAGGGGTTGACCCAAATCTAGCCTGGATGCAAGCTGCCACACGGCGTGGCATAGACTGATAAAGCTCCCGGATGGTCTCCTGCGGTATTTCTTGACGAATTTGCTCTAGTTGTCGGGCTAGGTCATCAACATTCCCTGGTAGATGCAGTCACCTTCCCATCATATTCCAGACATGCTCGATGGGAGAGAGATCTGGCGACCTGGCTGACGAAGGAAGTGTTTTACAAGCTGTAAGGTAGTTCATAGCAATACGTGCCGTATGTGGTCTGGCATTATCTTACTGAAACGTAAGGCCAGGGTACTGCAAAAGGAACGGTAGCAAAACCGGTCTCAGAATGTCGTCGACGTACCGCTGTGCCTAAGTGTCCCTTTAATGACGAACAATGACGACGGTCCGTCTATCAAAGGAAATGGCATCCCCATACCTTAACTCCTGTTTGAGGGCCTATGTAGCGTGCAATAGTGAAAGCAGGATCGACACGATGCTCTGGGTGTCTCCAGACACGTCTTCGATGATCGTCACAACACAGCTGCAAGCGGGATTCGTCGCTAATGACTATACGTCTCCAGTCAGCATCATTCCAGCCTGATCGAGCAAAGCACCACTGTAATCTGGTTCGACAGTGTGCAGGCATGAGTGGCAGGTGACGTAATGGTCGGTATGAGCGTAGATTTCGCTCTATCAGCTGTCTGTGAATGGTCATGGTGGACACTCGTGTGTGGGTCGCACGTCTGATCGTTGAAAACGATAAATCAGGTGCTGTGACAGCCGATCTGACAATCACTCTGTCCTCTCGATCTGTTGTGGCCCTAGGTCTACAGCTACCATCATGACACTGAAATCTGCCATTTTCCACCCATTCTTGCCAGCATGTTCTAATCGCCGCATTGCTTCGACTCATATGACGAGCGATTCTCCGATTTGCCCAGCCTGCCTCTTTCAATGAAATGATATGACCTCTTTCAAACTCTGACAGTTGCTCGTAATGAGCTCGAATCCTGCGGCGAGGCACTTTTCAGTCTTTGAAAGGTATCCTAAAACGCAATGCAACAGAAATTTTTAACAACAGTTTTAAGAACAGCTCTTTATAGACATCTGCTGAATGCGCAGTTCCGATGCGCTGGAGATAGCACTATTCATTCATTGGACACCAAATTTTAGTCATTTGCATATTTGGTCAAAACACCTATGCATACGAAATTTTAAAGCAACGATAATTCCTTCTTGGAGAGTCGAATTTTTTGTTATATAGTTTGGTAGCCCCCTCTGGTATATTTTTCAGCAGCGTTATCGGAATGAGACAAACAAATAGCTTATGAGTTTGAGACAAACATAGCTTATGAGTTTGAGACAAACAAATAGCTTATGAGTTTGAGACAAACAAATAGCTTATGGGTTTGATATTTCTAAACAAATACTTTACGAGCAGTGAACCGGTCTTTAGGTAGAAATAAATAAATAAAATTATTTACTTGAATTCCTTTGGTTTCAACAGTGACGTATAAAAGTTATGTTTATACTTGA